TTGGTGATTTACAGCACCTCAAGACTGAAGCAGTGGAGACATTCAGCTGAGTTCTATTGAGTACATGTTGCTCTGGCCTGCTTTTTAGCGAGGCACACGCATTGTTTTTTCACATTGCAACATTAAAATTGCACATTATTTAGTTGCTGTTGGATGTTATTTGAAGAGGAATTCATGAAATTGCTTTTACTTTGAAAGAGCATCCCCTCCAAGTGGCCTTGGAGACCAAATAGTAAATAAATATTATTTTATTATTAAATTATTCCACATCCTGCTTTTTCATGATGCTGAGCATCCTACCCCCTTTTATATACTCTGTTGCATCAGTCTTAAGGTGATTGGCTTGAACAAAACTCATTCCAAACACTTAAATATATTGAACCTTCTTACAAAGACAATTCCCCCAAGTTTCATAAATGTAACTTTTTAAAACCCAAAAATAACCAAAATACACTGACAGTTGGCGACTCGCGCAGTGAAGGAAGGGTTAAGGCGGACCCCTCTCACAGTGACCTAAGCTCTGAGTTCACAGACCAGAATAACAGAGTTCTTTTAACAGTGTCCCCCCGCTGACCTCGGCTAACCTCGACCCTCCATGAAGCTTCTAAAAGTAGAATTCAGTTGAAACGATGTATTTCTATTCCTTGAATGTCAGCTTCGTGGGAGAGTATATGTCGGGGGTGGGGTGGGGGGGGTACTAATGCATCGATTCCCTATAATCCCATGTGCGTTTTTGAGTGCAATGCCTGATATTGTTACCGGATTAAGGTTTGTGTTTTTGTGCTCATGCATGTCAATAGTGGGCGGGAAAATGGACTGTACAGACAGGCACTCTCACTATATTGCAGCATTTCACAGACAGCTGGGCTACATTGTTCTGGGGGGGTGGTCTTTGCCTTGGAGTACTGGGCAATATTCAGATGATTGAAGAGGAGTGTGTGAGAGATTGTATGTGAGTATGTGTGTGGTGGGCTGGGGACATCAAAGTACAGAGGTCGGGGGTGTGGGTGGTTGGATTTCAGGGAGACGGCATCGGCCTTTCCAGCGTACCGCATGCTCATTCATACTGTATGTGTCTGGTATGATATACATAATGGCACGGGCATGAGTCAGAGGGCCTTTGCGTGTCTGCATTTTAGCATGTGCGCGTGTGTGTACGTGTGTGTGTGCATTCCGGCTCATAGTTCAGTAGATCTGTGTGGTGCCCCACAATGCACCCTGCTAATCCTTTCCCAGAATGGCTGTTGCCAGGCAGGGAAATGACCTCACGGGGCGCTAATGGGACTTTGCGGCAAACTCATTCATAACTGTAAATATTGCGTGGGCTGATTGTCAGGAATATAAAAGTCATAGCCCGTATGCATCTTGTTGTTGTTGTGTTTTTAAATATTTTTTTAAATACACAAACTCTGAGCTTGAAGTGGCAGCAGTAAATAAATATATCTTTTTGCTTTACAGATACAATATGGACAACATGTGCTCTTCATTACAAGTTACATTTCTATGCACCACTGTAACACAGTTATTGATGTTACAAGAATGATTTGCATAACAGACTTTGCCTGTCTATTTGTACAGTACATCATTTTGAAAGAGGAGTGATATTTTGGAAGTTACCCTTACTTATTGTAAGTGGAGCTCAATCAGTGCAGCTGCCTCTAGCATAAGTTACCTTCACTGTGCTTAAGCCATTAGCATTTCCTGTACACAAACACACACACACACACACACACACACACACACACAGAGCTGTATTAGTGGCAGTCGACTCATATAGCTATAGTTCTGCTTACAGGCTGAATGTCGAGATTAGTATTACTGTAACTAACTGGCACGAACAACAGAATGGCGTTATTGGTATTGGACGACCTTTACTTATGTAATTGAGCTGAAATGCAATTACTGCCTCCATGCCTGATGAGACTGTGGCTACATTAAAGTGATCTATTTTTTTTAATACTAAAAGCTTTCGTAAAAATGAACGATTTGGTTGATTTATGAAATGATTTCCCAATAATGGATGTTGAAACCAGTTAATAGCTTGCTCACTCCCCCGCTCACACCTTCACTCACACCTTCCCTCGTGCCTTTCATTTCTATTCAGTGTACATCTCCACCCTGTGCTTGTTATTTATGGGTTCACTTGTCTCGGGACACCTGTGAAACCTGAGAAGAGAAACTTGTTATTCATAAACAAGTTGTCTGAAACATCTCGTTCTTTGGAATGTGAGATACTTTTGACCATGACTTTTTTTTTTTGTGTGCAGGTCGGCACATTCTACTGCGTTTTTGTCATATTAAAGGGAAGGTGGTCTGTACGTCCGTGCGTGTGTGTGCGTGTGTGTGTGGGGAGTTTGAAGATGAGATTGTTTGTTTGTGTGTCGTGAGTGGAGGGAAGACAGCTGCTTTGTGTCCACCAGAAGCAGCACCACATTCCCTCCCGTGTCCTTTGCAGTCCGGCTGTCTTAGACACGTATACATACAAACAGCTTTTTCTGCTTCATTAGTCACATCTTAATCTTCACATTTTAAGTAAGTAAAATGATCAGATAAATATAAAGATTTCCAGTTTTTAGGACATTTTTTTGCTGCATTCTTTGCAAGTGGGATCAAAAAAACACTTCTTATGATGAGTCATGTTAAGTGAGCTGACATCACCCAGTATCCAAACTTTATGATCAACATCAATATTTCAGAAATTGTTGTGAAATGATGAGTGATGAAGAGTCCTGGTAGACATTCTACTTATCTGACAAATGGCTTCTTCAGTCTACAAGGAGGACAATACGTTGTGTGTAAAATGTCATCTGTGTTTGGTGGATATCAGTACAGTCTGGGAGAGCACACCAGTCACCGTCATCATAAGAACACTCCAGGTCTGATTCACATTTTGTGCGTTATTGAAGATCGACGGTATGCTGGGAGGCTATTAACAAGGTTGTTGTAAATGGAAGATGTTGGGCCTTTTTGTAGCAGTAAGTCTGGTGTCAAGCATCCGCATTTCCAATGGCAATGTGTCTCAGGGAATGATCATAATGATTCAGTGTAATTATAGTATAAACAAATGATCCGTGTTGGCTCTATTGTCAAAACAGCAGTCATAACCATGACAGCTTGGAGAGAGACAGATGTTACTTCGGACAAAAATACGATATATTGTGTTGTTTGGCTCCGGTAAAGTGGAGTAGTGGTTTGGAAACACGAATACAAAGTCCATATTAGCTGCTTTTTGGGGCTGTTTACAGCCATTTAGTAATTTCCATCGATATTTCTGTTGCTTTGATACTCAGTACTGAAATATTCAAGCAATGTAAAATAATAGAAACTAATCTACCCTTAAGTCCTTTGGGTTTTATTTGTTTATTAGTTTCGAGGAAAACAGCCTTAATTAACTGAGAACCTGAACCATCTAAATGGAGGGTAAATAACAGAGGCATCAGTGCCATGTACAACCCAGGCCAAGTCTGCCTTTTTACTTCATATGCTGTAGTACAAGTGGAAAAAGGGAACACTGTGAATGTAGCAGACTTCATGTCTGTTCAGTGGACATGCACAGTCTCTCGATGCTGATTGGGAAAAAAATGAGGTCTTTTACCAGAAATGTGAGTCAGTGAATGTTCTGGAGACACTATTTGTGTAAATGTATTTGATCACAGTTTATTTTATTTCATAATGTTTTTGAAAGTTTCAGTTTTTAGTAATAAGCTTGCTGCTGGACAGGTCAATACAGCACATCTCACATAATTGGCTTGTTACCGAGAGAGGGAGAGTGTGTATGTGTATGTGTGTGTATGTGTGTGTGTGTGTGTGTGAGTGTGTGTGTGTTTGCTCTTTGTGTCTCACCCTTTCTCTCCTTCTCCCTCATGCGGGCTCTCTCATTTTCTAAATGTGCAGGCTGGTATGTCTCCTTTCCCTCGAGATGGCCCTGATCTGACAACGGCAAGGCCTACACCCCGTGCAGGAAACCCATCCCACTGAGACAGCGGGCCTTGTTCTGTGTGTGTGTGTGTGTGTGTGTGTGTGTGTATGTTATGCCATTCTGCTGCCAGTGCTTAATACAAACAGGACATATTTTAAAGAATGAATACAGAGTCATTTAATTCCGAGAATGTACACCATGATCCTGGTGGCGGTGGCCTTTGCCTGCCTCCTGCTTGGCCCTCTCATGGAGCAGTGCTTGTTGACGTTTATACCCAAGCCTTATTTTCTCATTAAACCTTTATTGCATTCATCCCCCCACTTTGTCACCAGTTTTGTAATATCCACCCCCGCTGAAGGCATAAGTGCCCGCTTAAAGTGCCACAAAATGTTGCCGTAATGGCTTTTCTCTGAAATTTGTGCCAGAAGAGCTCTTCTGCAGGTTCACTCAAGGACAAAGTGCAAGCCAATCGGTTTGGATAAGTGTTTCCTTTTATGCTAGATGGATTTTGTTCTGAGAAGAGAGGGAACTGAAGGAGGAGGAGGCCTTTCTTTAAGGTCAAAATATTCGTCTATTCTTTCTTTCTCACCTCCAAACTTCTTTTTCTGCATCTCCCCATTATTCTCCCTCTATGACTCCCTGCCTACATATTGGTCTGTCTCACTCTGATGCTTGCGGTCCAGATCCTTCCCACCTTTTTTTACTTTCTTTTCTATCTGTTCTGTGCCTCCGTGGTTTAACTCTCTATTAATTATTTCTTTTCGTGCCTTGACTTCTGTTCTGCCGAGAGGAAATTGCTTCCTGTAAATGACCGCAGCAGAGGAGCTGATGACAATGACCACTGATTCAGATGTTACATAACAGCATGAAAGGTGAAAATCGTCACCGGATGAGGTGAATTTTGCCGGAAAGCTTTTGTGTTGATGCACACTACCTAAGGCTGATAAAGCGGAATCGGCTTTACCACTTCATACAGTATTAGCTGTGTTTTACTAATATTGTGGACACTCAATAAAAATGGAACCTTTACTTATATAAATGAATATCTTCAGTGACCCTTTGTCAATGATTCCCTTAACAGCTGAACAGCTATGTGCAGGACAGAGAGGAACTCAACCTGATTCATCCCGCCAAACAGCTCCTTCTGTCTTGCCCGGGACGTCCCGGGGAGTCTCGCTGGCAACCGGAGCCGAGCCCCTGCCTCAAACCCTGGTGTTGTCATCCCTCTCATCCCCCGAGGTTTGTAGCCATTTTATGTCTAATATCATTTTTCTTAATGTTCCCCAATTGTTGGTCCGTCGTGTGATGCAAGGATTGGCGTCTAGTAGATGCTGTAAATTTAGTTTGTTCATAACAATTAAACATTTAGTTAAATAAAGGAACACTATGTAGGATTTAGGGGAATTAATTGGCAGGAATGGAATATTATATTCCTAACTTTGTTTTCAATAGTGTATAATCACCTTTTGGTTAGCTTAGCATATCTACATAGGTAGAGGGTCCTCTTCCATGGAGTCCGCCATGTTGCATGGCCATGTTTCTACAGCAGCCCATAACAGACAAACCAAACAGTGGCTCGAGAGAGGGCTTGTCACATTTTAAGCAGTTAATCTCAATCTGCAACCTCACCACTCAGATGCAACTAAATCCTCCACACTGCTCCTTTTAAGTAAAACTAGCTGATTAACAATAACTTAAAAACTTTACCACAAGAAACTGTTATTTTGTGTTTATTTTAGGCGTTCCCTGCGGCCGGAATTGGTAGTGTGTGCAAGCACCAGAGTCTCGTTAGAAAACCTCTCATTTTACTGAAAAACAGTAAACACTAGCAATACAGCTAGGGCCTCAAGCAGTGTGGTGTGGTCGTTGGCTCCCAGCGGGGCCTGGAAGAGCAGCGAGGCAAAGCTCAGAGGCCCCGCTGGAGTCTGAGCTGCAGGCGTTTCTGGTGAACGTGCACGCTTTCATCTGAATCCGCCCCGGTGGCACCGATGACACAATAAAAATAACTGTATAGAAATAGCCAATCTTCTCTTTGATGGTCTTGTTTACTGATGTAGGTCATTTATAGGCTTCAATATTAAATTGAGACTGTTGCATAACCAGTTAAATGTTCCTCACAGTAACTTTAACTTAAAGCAGACGTAGTGTAAGGTGTTGGTTACATAAAACAGGTTAAGCATGGCTCTAAAGAAATGTGCAATCTATGCAAAAAGGATAATAGACTGAACATCTTTGTCTTTCAGACTGTTGGTCAGACAAAAACAATTTCATGCCCTCACCTTGTGCTGTAGAACATTGTGATGGGCAGTTGTCATTATTTTCTGACACATTATTGACCGATTAATTGATTAATTGAGAAAATAAAAATCAGGTTAATTGACAATAAAACGATTTGTTGCATCCGTACTTGAGACTTTAAATGTATGTGATTAATTATTCAGATGGTTAATGTTATTGCATTTATTTGTAACCAGACTGCACTAATCACGAAGATTAGATTTGTTTTATGAATTTGATAATTGGCCACAGGACAAATTATATTACTAGAAAGTCATCAAATGAAAATGGCTTCCACAACTACTTAACGTACTGTATGTATGATAAAGCATGCATAAGTCGCAACACGAACAAGTGCAGAGATCTTCTGATTACAACATTTCTAACACCCCAAAAGTCAGTGTTAAGCTTTGATGTAGTCTATTATCGATACTCGGCCTTATTCTAGTTGTAGCTACAAGACAATTGGCTGCAACATTGGTCGAGACGGCGTAAGTTCAGATCAGAATCACAGGCAAACTTTACTGTGTTATTTATTTCTAGGTTTTATCGTGCTTGTGGTCAGAGGACGTCGGTGTGCTCCCTGCTGACCGGAGCCCTTCTGGAGGCCACAGCAGCTCTCGGGGCCCGCTCTGCTCTGCCCTACCCTTTGCCCCAGAGCCCCAACAGCCACGCCGTGCTGAAAGGTGAGTGTTAAACTGAAGGGTGGGTGTGTGTGTATACGAAATGTTTTCTTTATTTGTAGGTTTCAGTGTACAAACCCCAATTTGTATTGTTTAGCATGAAAAGTTCCCATTATTCCCCTGTGGTCTATGGCTCCACTCTTTTCTCTTCCTCTCTGCTCTTTTCCCACATTGTTCCTTATCCACTGCGGGTTTTGGGTCGGTAGAAGCATGTCTATAGTTGATCCCAGTGGTTGCTCTTTCCTTCTTACTTTTCTTTTTATGTCCTTTGCTGTTCTCTCTCTCTCTCTCTCTCTCTCTCTCTCTCTCTCTCTCTCTCTCT